GTGATCTGCATTCCTGCATGTCCAGGTTTTTTGTTTTAAACAATTGGTATTGGAGAATGTTGTTCTTGATCATTGTAGCAACCTTTCCCAATCTGGCAACTCCAGATGAATTGGATTTAAATTTCCATAATTTACTTCCAGCATGTTTCACACATTCATTGGCTAGAAAGGGCAATTTTGATCCTTCTGCATCTCAGAGAGAACATCTGACAGATGATGATTGCATACTGGATGATGAGCTGAAGTAAGAAGGTTGTCACTGCGCATAGTCCAAAGAGAGGCACTGCCCCTGAAATTGTATAATTTATATTGGAATAATAATTTTAAAAATGTTTAGGAATCTGATACCAACAAGATTCCTCCCTATTGCCTCTTGCCTCCCATTGCAATGCAAGTTATATTTGGTTTGTGTTTTACTGTTTTCCACTTTGGAAAGGAGACAGGCAGTGTGTTGAATGTACTGTAAAGGCTGAAAACATTTAAGATGTGAATTATTCAATGAAGCTCACAAAGTTTCTTTAAGGATAAAATGAAGTGGGAAGGGAAGCCATATATATATACCACTTCCAGCTATTTGTAAGAAAGGCCAGCTATAAACACAAAGGCAAAATATTTGGTCAGTACTTCATAATTGGTCTTTGATATAGCACAGATTTCTTGCAGACATACACACACAGAGTATTTATGTTTATAACTGTAACAACCATTTCAAACATTATTTTAAATAGGAAACACATAGAATATAAACAAAATCCATAAAACACTGCAAATATTTTAGCCTGTGCTATCTTAAATACGATCTTTAAAGTTCACCTGAAGGGGGTGATGTAAAGACCTCCACAACTAAGCTGTGGTGGCACAATGGTTAGAATGCAGTATTGCAGACTAATTCTGCTGACTGCCAGCAGTTCGATTCTCACTGGCTCAAGGTTAACTCAGACTTCCATTCTTCCAAATTTGGTAAAATGAGGACCCAGATTGTTGGAGGCAACATGCTGACTCTGTAAACTGCATAGGGAGGGCTGTAAAGCGGTATGAAGCTGTATATAAATCTAAATGCTAAATGTTACTGCTATATGTGAGAAATAAGGTAGTAGAAGTTAGCATAGTTGTCTGTACTATTTTGATATTTGCAAGACAGCAAATGGATCATAGCATTCAAATCACTCATAACTGCAACTCAAGGAAATGGAACAGACCCATTACTGTAAAATAAGTCAGTCTGCAGTGAAGCAATAGTCCTAATGTGCCGTGTTATGAAAATCAGACCTGGAGAAAATAGGAAGGAAATAATTAGAAAGTGTGTTGCTCTTTGCCTTTTTGTTCTTATGATTATATTTACAGTCATTTGAAAAGAGCACATGCAGCGAGATGAGGGAAAACATTTCAGCTGCACAGAGCCATTCATCTGCAAAACCATTTCAGGGCCTGTGATTCAACTAGCAAGTGCAAGTAGAAAATACTGCAGAAGTAATCAAGCATACTGGGTTGTGGGGGGAGACACCTGATTTAAGGATGAAGTTGATACTTCTGGAACAGATGGAAAGACCATGATTTATCCATTCAAATTTCTTTCATAGTTCTGTAAAAAAAAAAAGTGGACAAAGACATATACTTTCAATGTTGGAAAGGATATGGCTCTTGCTAGGCTGATGAGCATCTGGACAACATGGAGCAAGAATAGCATAAAAGAATGGCATAAAGGTTCCAGGGAATGGATGGTAAAATGTTTTGTGGTCATGTTATTATGGTTGGTGCATAGTCAGATGTTTAGAATGGATTTGGCATTTTTGTCCATCTATTGAGACCTAATATTAAAGGTGTTGATGCAGGATGTAAGCTGTTCCAAGTAAAGCTGCCTTTTGTAATTGACTGGTGGTGATGTTGTTCAAGTGGTTCTCCCAAGATTGGAATTTCACCCAAGGTACCTATGTCTTTGCTTTCTTCTGCCACAGTCATTCTACTACTATTTGCAAGTCTTTATTTTTGTGATTTTTCTCTTCAGTTTTTTTTCTCTCTTCAGTTATGCTGTCTTCAGATACTACAATGCCCAGTATAAGACTATTTTGCCTTTCTTATTGACAATTGTTAAATCTGGATTGTTATGTGACAGGTGCTTGTCCAGAGTACTTTATCTTCTTAGTTTTCTATTACTTTGTCTATTTTGTGGTCCCATCAGTTCTTGCTTGCATTTATTGGTATTTCTTGCCGATATTCTAATGCACCATTGTTGCTACTTTGTCGTGTTGTTATTTATAATCAGTTTGTATGATCTGCTTGCTAACTAGCTAATTAGCAGCTAACTAGATAGTCCACTGTTTCTTCAGCTTCTTTGCAGAGGTGGCACTTTCTGTCTTCTCAGTTCTGACTTTGTATTCATTCTTTAAGCTTGATCTTGTGCAACCATCAGGTCCCAGAGATTTGAATAGGTAGGTGTTTTCTTATCAATTCCTTGCCTATTTTGACCTTCATTCCTGTTCTGTCTTTCACAGTGCTGCTTTTGATAGGTTGGATTATTTTTTTTCCTTTTGTGCAAAGAAGGGATTAAACAGTTCTGCTGTCTCCTTGCTGCCCATCTCCTTCTTGCCATCTTCTTCCATTAGTGAACTGACCATTTCCTTGACTTTCTTCTTGTTCTTTACATATTGAAAGAAACCCTTTTTCTTATTTTTGGCATTTGTTGTCTTAGTTCATTCTGAGCCTTAGCCTTCCTGACTCTGTCTTTGAAGATTCAAGCTGTTTGCTGGTATTCTGCCCTTGTTATACACCCCTCTTTCCATTTTTTAGACTTGTCTCTTTTGTCCCTCAGTTTGTCAGAGAGCTCTTTGTGCAAAAAACAAACAAACAAAATGTTCACATTTTTGCAGCCTAGATATGGAAGTTTGATCATATTTCTGATGCATATTCACACAGACACACACATGTATGCAAAAAAAAAAGCAGTATGAAACATTGACAGAACAACAAACTACGAAATGGCTGATTTTAAATATGTTTCTGTAAAATGTAGTTAAATTAAATAAATTAAAGAGAAAAAAACAGAAACACGAAAGGAGCAACTTGTGGTAGGCAAAGATGGATCGGGTCAGTCAATTGGTAGCCTCCTCATTATCTTATCCTAATCCAACTATCTGGAATCTGGAAGTTAAAATCTTATCAAAATCCATAGAAACATAACTTTTCATCCTACACACAGTGCTGGAAAAGAGATCCATTTCTTCATAAGTACAGTAATTGCTGGGAGAAATGCACTTAGAAAATTTATGAGCAAATAATAAATCTCAGTGATCAAACACCATGGGAACATGACACACCCCCTTCATAGTTGAGCCAATGCCATAGATAACAAAGGAATGGTGTGTGCCATTTCCTCATGCATGCTTAATTTACTTTTAATAGCTCACTTACCAAAATCTCCTTATAGGCCCCGAGTTCTTAAGCCTTGAAGTCACTGTATGAGCCATGAACTGGCCTATGATTCATTCATATATATATTTTTTTTAAAAAAAACGCAGCTTGTTCTGCTAGTGGATTCCATACTGCCACCATACCATCGGAATGCTCATCTCTTATCAGGCAGTTCCAAGAATGCTGATGTATTGCAATTACTACTTAACTCTCTAAACATCTTCTAATTTCCAAGTATGATATTCTTCTGACTTAGCCAAGACCAATTAACTTGTGAAAAAACATCAGTTCAGTCAGTTCAGTTTTCAGCAATCCTTATTCTTGTAGGTAAATCCAGGATGCCTTTTCCTTCTTGAGAATTTAGGTGATTAATATTTTGAGCAAAAAAAAAAATCAATGTGAATTTGACAACAAACTGAGAGCTCTGAAGCTTCCATGAGCACAGAAGCTTACTCTTGTTCTATGAATAAATGAGTGAATTAACAATCACAATGTGGGTTTATAGCTAGAGCACTTATGTGGTATAGAAAGGGGACGATGAGGGGTACTTGGTGCTCTCTGAGCTTGCTTATTTTCTTGCAGATCTTTCATTACCCTAACTAGGTAACATCATCCTTACTAGCACTGTTGATGTTACCTAGTTAGGGTAATGAAAATCTACAAGAAAATAAGCAAGCTCAGAGAGCCTTCATTTTAACCCTAAACTACAAATATTCTCCTTTAAAGGGGACAATGTTAAAACAATACCAAACAGTTTGGATTATGCTCGAGATAAACATCTTATTTCTGTCTGAACAGAACAGCATCCTCTTAAGGTCAACCTTTTTGGAGGTCAGCTGGGTAATTGGGTTAAAGTAAGTAGTGGATCAAGCAGAGGTAAAATAGGTGATGAAGTCATTCTCTTATGCTTTCATTCTTCACTTTTCTCTTTGAAAGAGCAAGTTGTAGAAAGGTTTTAGAAGGGTTACAAATTGTCCACCAGTTTTTGTTTATTCTGTGAAATTGTATGATATGATGAGAAAAGTATAAAGGTCAAAATTCATTTAATAGCCAAGAATATAATATATTGATTTTCTGCTCTGGAAGATTTAATTATTACAGACCAGACTTTTCTTGATGGACAAGAAATCTGTAAATTCTTCCAGTTTCAAAAATATTGCCAAAGTTTTAAGTTATACCAACTCAGACATTCTTATCCTGAATATACTAGATTAAAGGAATTCCTATATTCACCATTTGCAACCAGAAACAAGGCATGGATGAAGATATGCAGGATTCATTGCCTAGACCAGGGGTGGACAATTCATTTCCAAAGGAGCCACACATGAAAACGAGGACTGTTGTGGACTGTTGCCACCACCTCCCCCTGCTGCCATCCTCCCACTGCTGCTGCTCTGTCACCACCGTGGGCTGAACAGGGACAGTAAAAGTGCCCGATGTGGCCCGCAGGCCAGGTTTGCCATAGAGGGGTAAGTAGACTTGGTTTAACATGCAATATGATGCATCTACAAGTGACAAATCATGGCAAATGTCTGGCTGCAGCTTGGAATGTAAATTCATTCTACTAGTAAGACAAAGCACTTGCAGCTAGAAAAGAGTTCTATATCTATTACTATCTCCTGGCCAAATGTATGAAAAAGGCAGGTCCAAAATGCCTTAAATATGAAATAGAACATGATGTAATAAATATATGTATATTGGTGAATATGCCTGCTTTGAAGTATAGGAATTGTGTACTGGTGCTGACTCTACAGTAAATACAGTAGAAAATGGTCACTTTTCACCTAATAAAGCACTGTACTGTGCAGATGACCATGCCCTTTTCTGCACAGCTGTGAGGTCTTTCCAGCACATTGTTGCTATTGGATGCATGCCCAAATGTGATTCAGCTGCCATGCAGTGAATTGCTACAATTCTACCACCAGCACAAAATCTGGAATACACATACAATGTAACTTTGCTGGGATATTTACTTGACAGTCTGTTGAAGTCTACTTGGCACCATTTTCTATTCTAGAGGTTCCACATGCAGCTTATGGCCAAGTTGATTGTAGCCAAGGTTGATGTTTCAGCCTATTTTGGCAGTTACAAACATGCTCACAAATAAAATGAAAGAAAAAAGAAAGAACGAGCGGAGGTGGTGGAGTGAAGGTATACTGAAATTCATCTTTCTCTATAGTCTCAGCAGGTAAGATTTTTATTATGGGCATATCTGGCTTGGGGGGTATTTTTTGTCAGAATTATCTATATCTGTTTTGGAGTTTGATATTTATCCAAATTAAGACCTGGAATCAGGGGCAAGTATAGTGCACAATTCTACAGCTCTGGATCAAAGTCATGGAGAATAAAAAGAAAGTCCAATTGTACAAAAGTTAAGTGGTAGACTAAAATTGCAAGAAAAGGTAAGGAAGGATTTAGATATGATTGGTGTGTAAGTAGCCCAAAGAGAAAGAATGGGTTCAATGAATGCTGAAGAAAATCAAACACAAAGTTTGGATGGGAAGGATAGCAATACTGATTGTAGGTTATAGTGAAAGTAATAAATGATTAAAGAAGAGAAGAACTGTAACACAGTGATACAAAACATGCTGAGAATGTAGAAGGCCCAAGCTGAAACTCCTAGTTTATCAATAGTGCAACATCAAAACAGATATTTTCTTGCCAATGAGTAGAAGTATAGTGTAAAGTAAAACATGCTTATCTTTTCAAAGGTTCTTCCTCATTCCTTGGAAAATAACTAGACTAAACAAAATTTGCAATTGATTTCAGGGGATCAGGAAAGATATCTTCAATGACAATATTCTAAATATGACCTTCTTATGGGATGTACAATTGCTATGGTCTACCTTTGTTCCCATTTGAATTCTGATATCTGCAATAGGAGCGAAATGCCCATTCTTTTTTTCTCCAATTTGAACATAACCTTCTTTATTTCCTATAACTCAGCTGGGCTGCTCCTTTTCTAGTAACATCAGGGTAAATACTTTTGAAGAAGAATAGATCCTTGTAGTGCCTGATGGAGAGATGAAAGAAGAGACTTGTAAATTTATCTTGCACTTCATGCATCTCTTGGAAAGCTCCATATAAATAGAATCAGAACTTTTGTGCTTGATGCCACTTAAGCGTATTATAAACAGCAACAGGTGGAAGGTCTGCTTTAACAATTGAACCAGTTATAACAACCATACTTGGTCTGTTATATTTCTGATGCAAATTCCATATGCATTTTTATTTATTTCAAACCAAGAGGATCAAGAACTGTATCAGGAGCTAAACATAATACCATTCTGTTTCAGTTTTGCTTATATATAAACACACACACACACACACACACTGGAGCTATTTGAAGATGAAATCTTTTCAAAACTATATTTAGGTAGAGTTGCTTGATGACCTATTTATTTCCCACTGAATCACGAAGATTTACATGGAGGCTAGATTGGTTTGGTTTGGTTTTAGCATTTTTTGCAAACTCTCATTCATTTCCCATATGTATTAATTTAGAGAAGGGTGGACTTCTGGCTTGTAAGATCTTTTTCTAGTACCCCAGGATATTTTAGCCAAGTACTAACTTGGAAGAGACCATTAGCAACTGAAACTCATGATCCTTACATATTTTGGATACCCCAAATAACCAATAAAAATCAACCTCTGCATTAGCACAGATATTTAATAGTCTAGAGTTGTGACTTGTTTAATGGCCCACATCTAAACCAATCTATGGTTTATGAGAATGTGTGAAACCAGCCATTTGGATAAAAGTTATTTCAATTACTTCGAATGGCACTCAAGGGGTAAAATACAGTGTGAATTAAACAGTCTTGATAAGATATAAAAGGAGGGTGGGAAGAAGGCAGATAGCTTGTTGGCACCAGCTTGTGTATGTTGTATTAGCCAAGTGTACTTTGTATTATATAAAACATTTGGAAGTGAACTAAAATTACAGAAATGCCAACTTTTGGAAATCAGAAAAAAAGACAAAGGAATCTGGAAAACTGGAAGGGAGGGTAGAAATGGGGGATGGAAAGTTTGAGCCAATAATTCCATGTATTCAGCTTAGTAATATAATGTTGCACAGCAAAATAAGAATTCTCTACTGGAATACTCTGCAAATATCTTATCTGCAGCAGCAATGAAAAAAAACAATGGTTCATTTATTACAGAGGTTTTGGAAATTAAGCAACAAACAATCACAACATTCCAATCCCTGACAGTATCAAGACACTAGCAAGAACTGCCTGTCATATGATTTTGGAGCAATTCTACATTGTCTGTCTTTCTTTCTTTCTTTCTTTCTTTCTTTCTTTCTTTCTTTCTTTCTTTCTTTATTTATTTATTTATTTATTTATTACATGTATTTATATGCCTCCATTCTCCCGAAGGACTCAGGGCGGTGAACACAAGTTAAGAAACAAGTACAGTAAAATCCCATTTTAAACCAAATAACTAATTAATAGTAAATAATAAAACCCAGAATCAGAGTCAGCCTATTTGTTTGAACAGCCAAGTCTTCAGGTCCCGACGGAAGGAACGGAGATCAGGAGCCATCTGGAGCTCGGTAGGTAATTCTCTTTAGAAGGAGAAATTATGAAAAATAATAAGAAAACAATTTACAGTTAGGATGACCTGACTTGAAGGATTTGCATTATTCTGTTAAGTGATAGCTTGAAAATGTGCAAGCTGTCCTCAGAGGATGAGAGTTTTCTTATGACAAATTATATGGACTCTTCTCATGAATTTTGCTTGGAGCAAAGTCTGTGGCAACAACCATCATAGATGAAATGCTTACAAGGTGATGACCAGTGTCATGAAACAGTTTCTGTAATGCCTTTTTTCCTTAGGCAACAGGGATTCAGGCTCCTCTGCAAGTGGAAAAAAATAGATTCTATGTCTGCAGTCCCACCAAGTTGGCTGAGTGTTTAGGCTGTGTGTGTTAGTGTGTGTGTGTGTGTGTGTGTGTGTACTTTCGAGTTAGTGGCTATCTGTATTTATCCCTGCAATTTTCTTGGCGTGATTTTTCATAAATGACTTGTCTGTGTCCTTCCTAGGATTGAGAGAGAAAGAATGCTCAAGGTCACCCAACTAGTTTTATGCCTAAAACAGGACTAGAATTTCCAGTCTCCCAGTTTCTAGTCTGATATCTTAATCACTATATCAAAATGGCTCTCAAGTTGTCTTGGATTCTGAGAGAGAGATTGACCAAATCAATATTCCTGTTTTTTTGTTTTTAAAAATTCCAATATATCCTAGTAATGCCATTGGGCTGGGTCATTGTGATTGAAAGTAATCTACAATCTCTCCCTCTCCCTCTCCCACCTTCTCTCTCCCCCCCTCTCTTTCTCCCTCCCTCCCTCTCTCTCTCTTTCTTCTTATCTCTCTCTCTCATCTTATCTCATTCTCATCTGCAATCATTGGTTTTATCTTCAGCTGGTTAACACAAGGAAAGAGCTTTCTTGGATTCCTGGTTGAATGAACTGGCTAAATAATCCAGTTTAACTGGTAGCACCTACTTTTAAAATATTATCCTGTTATATTACACAGTTACACAGAACCATGTGTAGATTTGATAGCATCCCATTGATTTTAATCTAATCTAGAAAATTTTGTTGTTTCAAACTTGGTTTTTCTTTTTGGTATCTCCTAACACCAATATTCAGAGAGCCTGTTTGGAATTTGTAATGATTTGAATGAATGAATTACTTATTCATAGTCACCATTTACTTTGTCTTTTCCCTTCTTTTAGAGGAGTTGACCACCTCAGACTGACTCCTTCAGCTACTTTTTTTAACCATTTGCAGCCATAGAATTGCAATCAGATATTGAATTATAACATGTTCCATTACAATTCTATGGCTCCAGGTTATGGTGATTTTATTATAGTTTTATCTGAATTTAATATTTTGTCTCTTATATTGTATTGTTCACATATCTAATATATACTGTATATATTTGCTGATGCTTTATTTAAACTAAATTTGTATATCACTAATTGCACGACCTCTGTAGATGCCATATGCTAGGTAAATAAATAACCATTTGGTAGGAAAGTTGCAATGCCCTTGCCTGCAGATGTTTAGGAAGTTTGGTACCAAACCAAGGAAAACAATGACTATAACAACAAAGGTAGCTAAACTTTTGTTTTCCTTATCAGAAAAATATCACTAATATTTTTTGTATGAAACTTCAAAAGGATATTCTGAAAATATCCAGAAAATGGAGCAAAACTGATTAACAGGGATGCAGATCAGCCTTCGCTTCCCTTGTGCCCTTCAGATTTATTATAGCTTCTAAAAATCCATCTACCCTGTTTTCTCCAAAATAAGACATCCCCTGATAATAAGCCCAATCGGGCTTTGGGCGCATGGCAATAAGGCCAAGCGCTTATTACAGGTTCAAAAAAATATAAGACAGGGTCTTATTTTTGGGGAAACATGGAAGTAGTGACTAGGAAAAGATTAATTCAATAAATATAATCAATTATTATTTATTTAGCGTATGATGAGAACCTGACCAAGAGAGGACCCAAAAGCCACTCATGTCCACAGCTACTGCTGTTCTGGGCCTCACAGTCATGACAAACAGAAAAATACAAAATTATGCTATTTTTAAACCTATGCTATTTTTAAACCTATGAACCTCACAGTCCACATTCTACTTAGTTCATACTAGTCAAATCAGGAATATTATTTATTTATTTATTCATTTATTAAATGACATTTGTATAGCCATCCAACTCATATAGTGACTCTGGGTGGCATATATAATAGTAATCAAAAGTACATGAATGTCATTAAAACAACCCAACTGAATTCAAAGTACAACAAATAAAAAGCAAAATGGTAGCAAATCATTTGGAGAGTGCATCCATTAACTGCCATAGATCCATCTAGCAGGCTTTATCATGGAATTCCCAAGCTAGTTGATAAAACTAAGGGCCTAACTCATAAACTGTGCCCTTGTTGATGGGTATATCTGTTAAACCTATGCACAAACTGATCAAACACCTGAATGTTGAAGCGATTTTTTAAAAAACAGAGGATAGGCCCTCTGTGGTGGATATTTATATAGGTGAGAGTGATGGAGAGTCCCTTTTAGTTTATTTATATCTTGTTAAAAGCTAAGCATATTGCTTTCATAGTTGAAACCTGTTCCCAAACATTCTTGAAATGTTCTAGCCTATTACAGTAG